TTATATCTGAATTTCTTCCTTTTTTTTTTTTTTAAATGGTGCATTATTTAAAAATTATACAAGTTAATTTGATTGTTGTTTATTTATGTTACAAAATGTATTGAAGTCTTCATTCACATAATAATGTTGCTTAATATTTTGGGTTTCTGATATGAATATTTAAAAAATAGCAAAAAAAAAAAAAATTACCAAAACAAACACATTTTTGTCCTATGAAAGACAAAAGGAAAACTTTTCTTTACCAACACCTTTCATACTAAGGAACTTAATCATGTTAAGTTTTCAAATTTGTGAATGCTCCAAAATATTTTTAAAGTTAGCTAAATAATGAAAATAATTAAATGTTATTGTTAAATTTTTATTTATTAATTATTTAATGTAATTATTATTATTTTATTTTGCTTCATTATTTATGTCTATATTTCTGAGATGGGGTATTATGTACACTATTTACATTATTCGGACTACTGCCTTTGTCGCCATATTTATAACAACGTTTTGGACATTGTACACTCCAGCCTTCTTCAGGTGGTTAGAATGTCAAACTGAACCCTTTATTTCACTCACTGGGGTAGACTGTTCTAGTTCCACGTGCCATGTTTAATGGATGTCAGTTATCAGTTATCTCCTGTTAATTCTTCCCCTCAAGTTCTCCACTGCCTTAACCAGGCACAGTGGATAAAGGGGTTAGTTAGATCCAGTAACAGGATCCAAAGAGTGTGAGTTCAATACCCGGTTAAGCCTGTGGAGAACTTTCAGAGGGAAATTAACAGGAGATAACTGATAACTGACATCCATTAGACATGGCATGTGGAACTAGAACAGTCTACCCCAGTGAGTGAAATAAAGGGTTCAGTTCAACATTCCAACCACCTGAAGAAGGCCGATGCCTACAACGGCCAAAACATTGTGATAAACATGGTGACAGAGATGAGGACAATAGTCCGAATAATGTGAATAGTGTTCATTATTTATGTTTTAATTTATTTATTTTAAACATTTAAAAGATTTTGAGTTTACTCTTTCCTAATTTTTAAAATTTTATATAGTCATGCATGTTGGTTTGAAAAAGAAGTATTTCTTTCAGGGAAGGGGATATTTGAAAAAATTCAGAGTTGGTGTCATGACAATTAATTATTAATTCACTTAATTTATTTAATGGGATTGAAATCAGTTAAACCCAGAAAATTTATTTTCTTTTTATCACAATGGGCAACAAAAATATAAATAAATAAAATGATTCAAATATCTATACTTAATAAAAGTGTAATATGAATTAAGACTTGAAATATATAATTTATTTACACATGCATTTTGAATAAACTTTTGTTTATTAGGCTACATATTGCATCACTTAGTGTTCACCATAGTTTACCTTTCCATATACAGCAAGCATTAAAAATATTTTAGAGTATTCTCAAATTAAAAATTTGAAAACTTAATATTTTTCCTCCACTTTACTTCTGTGTATAAATACAAATTACAGAATAAAATCTCCATTTACCTTGATAAAGAGTTTCTCAGGTGATGAAATGCATTGGTAAAGATAACTTTTCCTTTGGTTTATATATATATATATATATATATATATATATATGGGTAAAGAACAAATAGGAAAGGTTTATCAATCTAACATTTTTCAGTTTTATTAAAGCTTCATCAGAAAATGAGCTACAGAGAAAAAGAAAGAAATTCTGTTATTTTTACTTTTGTGTAGTTTGATTTTCATTGTTTAAGCAGGCTTCATGTATATTTGATTTGTAAAGCAGCATTTGTGTATATAACTATTGTGTATAAGTGTATCATAATTGTACTTTATCTATAATAAATGATAATATATATTCATAATTTTGTGTGTGTGCCTAATAGGCATTTATATATGTCTAGCTACACTGATAAATACTAAGGTAAGTAAGCATATAAGGGGAAACAAAAAATGTTTGCTTAACATAAATTTATTGACAATGGAAAATAAATAACAGGCAAAAGTTTTGTCAACATTTTGAAAATATAAAGGATAGAAATTGCAGTTTGGGATTTTGACTTCTATTCAAATTATTTATATGGAAATTTCCCCTTACCAATCAGAACATGCCACACGTCATAAGCAATGGCTTACAATATTTACATGTACATTATTGGGTAAAAGCCCTTATATTACCATTAGCCAAAAAGGTAGACTAGGCAAAAAGAGATAAAATTGCAAGGAAACTATATGCAGTAATTCATTTTTTCTACTACTATAACAACATATATATATATATATATATTTTTTTTTTTGAACAATAAAAAAATATTAAAAAATTAAAATCTTCAGACACACTGGGTTGTAGATTAATATTCTTTCATCTTTTTATTATTATTATTTCATTTAGATTCCTTGACTAGTTTCGGCCAAAATGGCCATCATCAGGAGAAGAAATATTTCTGCTTGCTGGTAGCAGTAAACTACAGAAAATATATATATATATAAATGAATATATGATATTGCACATTGAGTGTAGTTGGTAATAAAATAGTACTCAATGTAATATAACAGACCTATTAAGTATATATTAATAAATATACATTTTTTTTTTCTCACCGGTAGCACAATGCAATATTCAGGTGTGGAATAGAGACTGTCAGTACCTGAAGATTGAATCATGTTACCACTGAGGAAATATATATATATATATATATATATATATATATATATATATATATATATATATATATATTATATTATATAAGATAAAAACCTTTAAGGAAAAGATAATCTTCAATTTTTAGTGATTCTTTGAAATACAGAGAATGGCCTCAAACTTTCCAGCAATCATGTGTAATCCATGGCTATTAAAGATCTGGCTGGTATTAGTGAAGGTATTCACAATGACAAAGACAATCATTGGCCATCATAGATGTGTAAAGGGAAAATGAAAGATTCCAGATGATCTCAAGTGTCATATCAGTAAAGTTGAAATCATTTGAAAATGGAAGGAACACCACCTGATTACAAATATGTCGTGAATAGGATGTGTTTGTAAAGTAACTGAATGGGCAGTTAGGTCTCTTTGTTGGAAACTAATGAACTTCTGAAGGATCTGCCAATAGCTGGTACAGAAATGATCAAAGACACAATTAGTCAGATATTCCATCAATTCTGACTGCATCACATTCCTAGAAAATAACTTCTGCTGAAGCTTAGACATATGAAAGTTTGTCTTTACTTTGCAATAGTTAAGAGAATGATATTAATGTGTAAAGATTAATTCTCTGAAAGTAATTTTTATTGAATAATCAAAAGCTGTTTCTCAATCTTCGTTTAGCAGTAAGACATAATAACGAGACACTAAACAGGAAATTGAATCATTTTTTGCTGTTTTCTTTTTGCATCAAATCTTAAGAGTTGTCTCCCTTTTCCTATTTTTATTTCTGTATTATCCTTTTGAGCCAAATACAGAGTACAACAAAAATACCTCCCCTCATAATGTTAAGATGAAGACATCATTGCCACTAATGTCTTACTATTATGTGGGAGGTATTTCTGCCACACCCTCTACAAGTGCCATCTGAAATAGTAATGCCAGTGGGAATTTTTCAACTCTTAATATAAGTGTGCTGTTTCAAGTATATGTTTCAAGAACTTTAATTCTTGGAACAAAATAATCAAGTCATCAATGAAAATATTTGAAGACTAAAAAGCCTTCCACACCAAAACAAGCCCCATGCGTGGGTGGTGGGAGATTGAGGAAATAATAGAATTCTGCTGGCACTTGTATTTGACTTGATAAGTGTATTAGCAAATAATTTGTAAGTATTGCTCCATAGCAGTAGGGTAGGTTGATTTTGGAACTGTGATATTGCACTCAATTTAAAAGTTGGGGTTTGACATGATAATGGCACAAAATATTTTTTTCAAAATTTTTACCCTTTTTTTGAGGAAACAAGTTTGAAGATTAAGTTTAGGTTCAAAATTTTAGTGTTGCAATTTCATTCCGGTAATCAGTGAAAGCCTTATAACATAGCCTTATAAAATTTATAATTTTCTGAAGCTTTACAAATTTTATATGGACAAGATGCATGGCACAAGCACATTATTACTAAATCATTATACAGTCAAATAAGACCTTCATTTGCTTCAAAGGGAAATTATACTGAAAAATTTAGCTATATTATGATCTAATTGTAATATACAGTGCAGTAGTTTTAGTGTAATTGTCAATAACACAAATTTAAAACATTTTGTCTCATAATTTGTGCTCAGCAGTATTATGGTGTTATGTACACTTATCCATTTTTTTGTTTTTTATTAATTATGATCTATCAAATGATTTAACAAATCTTATTCATTGAGTAGCCTTTTTTGTAATCTTTTACAATTTTTTTTTTTACATAGTTTTTACAGTAAAAAAAATTGCATATTCTACTTGAGGTGATTCATAATTAAAATTCTGGTTTGAATATAATTTTCCTTTCTATATATCTAATACAAAAGATATCAACTTTATTTGGATTTATTCTTGAAATAGTAAAATTTTTATGTCAATTTGTAAGCAAAAACCTGTGGAAATAAGGGATTTCTGTACATTTTTTTTGGATGATCTTTAAAAATAAATGCTCAAAAATCTATGAATTTAATTTTTGGGGCAGTACTTATCACACCAAACCCCAGTCTTCACATTGAGTGCAATGTTGATTTTCTAAAAACAAGTGAAAAATCAACTTGCCATATTGTAGCAGGAGCCCTGTAACCTACTTTGGTTTTGGCAATGTTTTATGAGTTTTCTACTAGAAATAAATATAATGTTTTCATCTTAATTCAGTTTTTAAAAGTGGGATTGAATATCAGGTATCCATTAAGGAAAAGGGAAGGGTATAAGAATGGATAGAAGGAATGGAAAGATAGAAAGATAGAGCTGGAGGAGGGGAATAGAGAGAAAGCTAAGAAAATAGGACTGGTGATAAAAAGTGCAAGAGGCTTATTTTCTGAAAGTGTTTAACACCTGAACACCATTTACCTGTACATGACATTCACACATATCAGTGTATCATTCAACATGAAGATGCGTCTCTTTTTTGATTTCATTGGTTGTGACTGGTTCACCTGAAACACAAACCATAATTTAAAAAAATGTAGTCAGCATGATGTTCAAAATGGCTACAGGTATTGTATCGAAAATTCCTGTTATATTCCATGCTAATAGGAATATATACTTGACAAAGACATTGGATAAAATAAGTAAAGGTTTATTGTAAAACCAGTACAATAAGAAATAAGGTAACAGTTATGTGCCCGATCATTGCAAGTCAATCCAGTAGTGAGTGCTGCTATTAGAAGGTGGGTAGTTCTTGTGTAAGTCTGAGTCATACTCAACAGATCCCAGCTCGACGCTATTTAGTAACTGCCCCACGCAGTCACATGTGGCACAAGGCCGAATATAAAGTGGGGTTCCTGAACCTGGAGACTCGGCCAAAAAATCCCCGTAGGCCCTGCATAAACGGGATCAGGTCTGTCTACCTCCCCAGACAAAACTCTGTCCTTTGGCATAGCCTCGTCCGGGTTCCTCTCTGTCCGAAGGCAGAGTTTGACTTGCGCAGCTGGGAAAGATCGCAACTCCTGTAGTCCATTGACTTACCACTACATATAAGTAGTTACTACCTATAGTGTAGTTACTCATGGAGATGACAGGTTATTCCATTAAATCGCTTCCCCCCAAGCTGAAATTTTCCTTTAGAAAATTTAACTTTCTAATACTTCCTCTTTTTTGGGTCTGGACTTAACCACACTGGGTTTTCTTTTCCTTTTACTCTTTCAAGGTGAATAACATCTCAATTCTACGGGTAAAGCTGGTGTAGGGGATGTATCCATGCATTATGGTATGTTAGTGGGTGGTGTTATTTCAAAACTGTCATACAGGACATCCATCGGAATTTCTTCATCATCTATTGAATGATTTCAGAGTATCTTTGTCTTAACTGGTTTAAGTGTCTTTTGCATACACATCTTTTTCCTCTCACCATATAGATTACTCTTCCAATTCTGTTTGAAATAATTCCATCCTCCCAAAAACATTTTCCACCTCGGTAGTTCCTGAAGAAAATTTTATCACCAGGCATGTACTTCTTTGCACAGAAATTCTCTTTGTTATGCATTTTCTTTTTTGGACAAGGCAACAATTTGTCGAATATTGATCTCTTCCTCGTCACCACTGTTATATTCTGTGCTAATAGAAATATATACTTGAAAAACAAGGTGGATAAAATAAATAAAGATTTATTGGAGAAAGCAGTACAATAAGAAATGAGGTAATAGTTATGTGCATGATCATCAAAAGTCAATCCAGTAGTGAGTGCTGCTATTGGAAGGTTGGTAGTTCTCATGTAAGTCTGAGTTGTACTCAACAAATCCCAGCTCAACTCCTGTAGTCCGTTGACTTACTGTTACTTATAGGTAGTTACTACCTATAGTGTAGTCACTAATGGGGGTGACAGGTTATTCTATTACATCAATTTCCAATTTCATTTTAAGGATTTTATGGAAAAAAAAGAACACACAGAGGGACTAAAATGAGACAATCTTTAAAATATCAAACACGTTTCCTTCATTCAATCTTTTTTTTTCTTTAATCTTTCTTTCAGTTTTCCAAATATTCTTTTATTATTTTTTTTAATATATATATTTTCATAATGAATATATTTTTTTTGGTGAAGGAACAAATTTTCATCAAACAATATGGCTACCACTTTGTCATTTATTTGCTTAACATTGTTCTGATATATAAAGATATTTATGTATCATTTTCCCTAAACATGTGTGTGAATTTAATTATCATTATGTTTCAAGTGTTCCCATACTTTTCTGATATCAAAACAAATCTAATGTAAAAACAATGAACCTAAAATAATGATGACAACATTAGAAACTTTGCCAGCTTGATTAGCACAATCAACTCATGCTAACCTAAATTCAGGAAACAGTTTATTTGTTGAAAAAATTATTGATATTGAAGTGATGCCTGACCCCTTTATTCCTCACAAAACAGAAGAGTGTATATCTTCTGTTGGCTGCTGCTGGTACCTTGTTTATATTCCCAATGTCATTAGTTCTGTCTAAATTTCTGGTATGAGGAGTTATTATTCACATGTGAACTATTGACCTCATCTTTGTTGTAGTTATCATGACTGAAATGTGATATTAACAACAAAGATAAAGAAAATCGTCCACATGTAAATAATGTAAGTTTAGAAATTGTATATGTAAACTCAAATCATTTTTGTAAGCAATTCAAATGAACTGCTGGTATCAAGTCCCTTCATTTATTTAATATTTTATTGACTAAAATAGAAAAAAAGCAAATTGTGGTTCTACTTACAATATGAAACATGTCATCCTGTCGAATTAGGAATTTGTTGTGGGTCGTTAAATGGTGTTTTGTTAAACCTTCACGAATTTTACTCATAATCTGTTTTGCTGCAAACTTTTGTTCATTTTCTCGTTTATGTTCATTAAGCTTGTGTGCCAAGTTCTCTAAGACAGTAACAGCCAACTGAAGGGCTCGACGGTCGACGTGTTCTTTGGGGGTATATTTCAGCATGTCCTAAAAAAAAAAAAAAAAAAAAAAAAAAAATCAAATGTTATCACCCTCATATTCTCTCCACCAAATTTATGGTATAACTTCATGAAAATGCAATTATAAATGAATGATTAGGGTTTCATGGTACACTGATTTCTATATAATGGTCATTCCATAACAAGTTTTGTTTTTTGACTTTCACAGATCTTAAGTTCTAGTAAGAGATGTGTTTTTTATGGCACATTGACTTATCTATAATGATCATGTAAGAATAAAAAATTTTAAAATTAAATTCTCAATTTTTGGTTGTACTGAGTCCTGATAAAAATAAAATATGAAAATAAAATATATAAACAAAAAATAAAAAGAATTCAAATTAAAATAAAGAAGTTGTGCTTTTCTTTAAAACCTTTATTTATTTATTTCTCTTGCTTAACTTCTCTCAACTAACGAGATGGCAACCTTCAAATAAAAAGAAGAAAAGAATAAACATGGCTGCATTTTCAGGATCAGAGTTTACTTATGTGTGGCTGAAAAATACCAAAAATCAGAGAGGCTCCACACCTTTGTTATAAAAAAAAAATGAAAAAGAAAGGAATGCCAGAAAATAAAATAATTTGGCCAATAAGAAAAATTGACACAAAGAGAGTTTTTGATGATTAGCTGAAACCAAAGTTCCTGCCAAAACCAGAGTTTAAGTCTGTTACATTCAGTTTCGCACCTACACTCTTAGGAAAGGCATGAATCTGCCACTTCACTCCCTACCCAACTATAAATTAAATAGCAGGGTAGAGTGGGCTCTCTAGACTTGAGTGGTAGTCATTCTAAGAGAACTAAAACTAAAACTGTGAAAAATGCAATGGGAATCCTCTCCATCTTTCTTAAGAATGCATAGCAATTTGAAGATAATAGGAGAGTAGACTGAGCTTTCTAACCTTGGGTGGCAACCAATCTATGAGAAGAAAACTGAATTCCAGCTAGGGGATAAATCATAAAAAAAAACACTCCACTGTATTTCCAAAATCTTATGGCAATTCACAGATAATAATTTAAAGAGGATGAAAATGTCTTGAAGGGGCATGACATCAAAATTCTGTATTTAGCACCTCAATATGTTTTGTATCGCAGAAATAGAACTGAACAAAATCCCTTTGGCATTCTAACAAAATATATATATATATATATATATATATATATATATATATATATATATATATATATATAAAAGTTGCTTTTGTTTTGTTTTTTTTCACCAATTATTCTTTCTCTTGTTAGAAGAAAAGAAAAGAAATTATTCTCCATTGGTTCACCAAAGAATAGAAACAATAAATATGTGTCGTGTAATTTTCAGTTTTAACTTTGAAACATATTTTAATCTTGAAAAGGGAAAGACAAAAAAAGACAAAACTTAAGTTTTATCTTTCTTAATATAAAGTCACTAGCCATTTTGATTTCTCTTCTCATGCCAATATCAGTTACACTATCCACACATTTGATACTTGAAAGAAATTTGTTTCTCATTAGTTCATATTAAAACATTTGTTAAAATTGGTATTAATTTTGGGGGTTTATTTCAACATTATTTTTTATTTATGCAACATTTGATTTTAGGAGCAATGAAAAAGAACAGCATTTATGACTGATAAAAGGAAAACATCAACACAAAAAAGAGTGCAATGGAAAATTAATGCAAACATGTCCTGTATAAAATGTAAAGCTAAGAAATTTAGTTCACTGTGTTTTTGCTAGACAATTTTTACTTCTGAATCTATCTTACATATTGATAAATCTACCATTTGTCCATGCTTAGAATATTGCTGCTACATCTAGTCTGGTGCTCTTGTTATATATTTAGAGATCACTAATAAAATTCAAAGAAGAATCTGCAATGTTATTGTTCCTGACCTGGTATCTCAGTTTCAGTCACTTTCCCACCACCATAATGTAGCTTCTCTGTGTCTTTTCTATAAATACTGTCATGGTAATTATTTGTTTGGATGAACTTTCCTCTATAGTAGCTAGATTTTATGAATTTAAGTGCAGTACTAGATTGGTGGCAAGGTCTGATCAATTTACAATTGAGTTGGCTAATTGGAACTGTAAGTTCTATGCTAACAGTTTCTTCTATTGCACTTCTCAATTGTGGATCTCTCTTCTGGTTCAATGCTTTCTAATCAACTTTGATCTTCAAAAATTTAAATACAATGTCAATCATCATCTCTTCTTGATTACTCTTCTATTGTGCTTGCTTCTTTCTGTTTTTTAATTCTTTCACACTCGGTGAACTCTTGTGCTTTAGTGGCTTTACTGCCTTGCATGGGGTGAATTTGATTAAAAAAATAACATACACATACTTTTGAATCTTAAACTGATTTGTATTAAACTGAATTATTTCATCAAATTCAAAATATTTAACTTTCTCATCAGTTGTTTGATAAATGTCAATATTTAGCTGATGATAAGTGCAAATCACTTTTTAATTGTCAAGAAAAAAAATGAAAAAGAAATTCAATAAAGAGAAGAAGGGAATGAAAAAATGATATTGTATGTTAATCTTGTAGACACCACTTTGGAGTTAGAGGGCCATGGCCTCATCGTACCAGCTACGGTTTCTATAGCAAGTAGGCTTTTATGAAGTAGAATTGCTAGCCCTATATCCAATTAGTTTTGAATCCAGTGTTGTTGTCCTCCAAGACTGGTTGCCAACCTAAGCTAGAGAGCCCATTCTGTCATGCTATTTAACCCATAGCTGGGGAGAAAAGATGGAGTCATAACTTTTCAAGTGTATTTGTATGAAAATGAACACAACATCCTTTTATTATTATTACTATTAATCACCTAATACAAGGCCCAAGAGCCACTCACGAATGTAAAGGGGAGAGGAAAGGAGAGGTAGGATAAATATTAATTAACTCTACACTTGAAGGGGTTAAGATTGCATCCTCTCAGGAGCTGAATTTGAAGCCCACTTTCTGCACTGATAACTGCTACACTACATGCACATTCAAAAATTAATATAAACTCCAAGAATTTCAATAAGTCATAAAACTGGGAAAATCCTGCCTTAATTTTAACAGTTAAAAATTAATTATTATTTTGTTTTCTGAACAAAAGTTTGCAGGTTGACACTTTTTTTCTTGGAGATAAACACAGCCAGAATATGAAGAAATCATTCAAGAATCTGTAGGGTGACTCATCCTTTGAAACATCAGAAACAATTTAAAGAGAAAAGTACCTGTAGACACATAATAAACTGAGGAAATCGTTGAATTGGTTTCACCATTAAACCAAATATGGAGAGTCGGTCAGGACTGTTAGTTTCTTTTTGCTACAAGAGTAAAAAAATAAAGAAAAAAAGAAAGAATTATTTTTTTGTAATTTAGACAGTAGCTTTTACAATAATTACTTTTCTATAATTGTGTTAAAAGTAATTTTCTTTTTCCTGTAGAGTTGCAGAAAACAGTTGAATTATCCACATTCAAATGGAAAAATTAAAAGTGATTATGAGTAAAATTCTGGTTATCAAAATTTAAAATTAATAACTGAAAATGATTGAACAGTGACAATTCATTATTTGTAAATAAAGACAACATGAGATTCTGTATCAATTTTCATGGTGACAAAAAGAAAAAAAACATTGATCACTTTATTAAAGGGAGATAATCAATATTGTTACTTATGAGACTTGTTCTTGTGTCATAGTGAGAATTCCATTCAAAGTAGATTCTGAAACGGAAAAGAATTTGCTACCTTAAGAAAATCCCTGAATGATTGCCGTGTTCTCTTCAAATTTTTTATCTCTTCCATTGCGGCTGAGAAATTGTTCACATAAATGCTGTAAGCATCAAAAACCATTGACTTGGAGAACTGCAGAAGAAAGATTAAGAAACAAATGTCATTAATTTTGAGATTTATTACAAAATTCAAAAATAATTTAAAAAATATGTTATGATGCTTTGAAGAATAGTGGTATTTACAATTCCCTTAGCACATCGATGGATTGCAATGAACATTTGTTAGGATCTGTTTACCCAGGTTTTTTGTTAATGAGTGTCGAGATTCCAAATATTCAACAACACCACCCCACCTTTTAATAAAACATAAACGATTATTTTCTGAAGGAAAAGTAGAAACAGAACGTCATTTGAAATAACATTTATAGATTCTTTTCAAGAATATAAAATAACAATAAAATGTTCAAATTTCCTTGCAGTGAAGTTCATTTTATCAAGTAATTAAATGTTCTTAGCAATGTGAAATGTGTGGACACACTTACATTATGATGGTCAGCCTAATGTGTGGACAAGACCATAGTCAGTGGCTTCTGGCTGTCAATCCCTTCCACTGTATGTGCATGTGTGTGTGTATGCATGTATAGATCAAAAAGGCCTCCAAAACTGTTTTTGAACCCTGAGCAGAAGTATGCTGCTATTTTCATATCCAAAAGGGGATTCAAAATCTAATTTCACATAGAGGTGTGAACTTTTTGAATACAAGGTTTTCATTAGTTAGAATCTTGCTCATTCTATGTTGTAAACAGTTTTTTCTTTCATTGTAATGTCTTTGTTGGAATGTTGATCATCTGTAACTATGTATGTGTTTATTTCCTTTGGATATTTCAATCTTGTTCATCCTATTTTCTACTCAGGATATTCTTCTTTCATTGTAACATCTTTGTTAGAAGTTTCAGAATCCTCTTGGCCATGTTAATAATCTGTAACCATGTCTTCATTTGTCTCATTCTGTAAAAGGCCATATTTCATTGTCGATCTGCATCTGGGATGGCCTATGAAAACCTCTTCACCCTCCTTATAATCTTCTTAGGGCCTTATTTGATTTGTCTGGCCTACTCAGCTCTTTCTAATTTTTTTTTGCTATCATTGCTATGTTGTTGCCTCTTCCCATTATGTTATTATTATTAACCTTTTCCAGATCCCTTCCTCTTTGTACTAATTTAAAAAATAATGCATCTGTTAGACAAGAAAAAGGAAAAGAAACCAGTTTTTCATTCATTCAACTATTAGAGATCAGAGTGTAATATTGTGGGTGTAGAATAAAGATGAATAATTTAAGGTTAAGAATTAAGAAGAGAAAACAACATCTCCCAACTAATAAAAGAGGTACACAGGTTGTTGGAAATAGATTGTATTTCTGAAATTCAATATATTTGACAGGGTCAGTTGATCATGAGTCCTGCCTACATGATAAAAATAAAATAGGATGTAGTAAAATCTTTTCATTGGCCTTTGAATTGACTCATCAGGAATATATAAGAAGGTGAGATTTCTGGGTAAAAAAAACATTTCTCCTTCAAATTTTTATGGTGGCTCTTAGTTTGCACAGTTGCTTTAGTGGTCAGGTAAGTACAAATATCTTTTATGCTCTTACTAAAGTTATAAGTTGGCTTAAGTAAAATTATTGGCCACACTTGGTTGAATACGATCTGAAATACTTGTTTTTAAAAATGTTAATGTATAAAGACCATTGTGGGTGTAGAATAAAGATGAATAATTTAAGGTTAAGAATTAAGAAGAGAAAACAACATCTCCCAACTAATAAAAGAGGTACACAGGTTGTTGGAAATAGATTGTATTTCTGAAATTCAATATATTTGACAGAGTCAGTTGACAATTTCATGCCCTGCAATAAAAAAGAAAATAAGTAGGAAGTTTTATAACTTTTCCTTTGGTCCATGAACTGATAACTCTAGAATTCTGAATTGGGCCTTTTATTTAATCTATGGTGGGTAGACTGTTCTTGTTCCACTGCTCATGTCTAGGGATATCTCTTCTAGTTATTATTTTCATTTCCCCGTAAGTTACCCAGACTGTTATACACCTTCGGAAAGGTTGGAGGGTACAATGGTCATCATGTTGCGATAACAACAACAAAGACGAGGTCAATAGTCCAAATAAAAATTGTGTAAATAATAACTCCTCATCCCAGAAATTCTGACAGAAATAATCTCATTTCTTGTCAATGCACTTAATTCAGTGGTGAATATGTAGGCACATCAAAACGTCTGTAGCTTAATGATAAAAAAAAAATATTTTATACAAAAAATATTTTTTTTTTATTGTTAATGCACTTCAGTGGCAAATATTAGTCACACATGCCATACATTGTACGGACTTATTGATGTACCTTGTATATGATCAAAACTTATTGATGTACCCTTGTATATGATCAAAACTTATTGATGTACCCTTGTATATGATCAAAACTTATTGATGTACCCTTGTATATGATCAAAACTTATTGATGTACCCTTGTATATGATCAAAACTTATTGATGTACCCTTGTATATGATCAAAACTTGAGTAACCTATTTCATTAAACAACATTCATCTTACATTTGTCTACCATTCACCCATTCATTGAATATTGCTGCCACATATGGTCTGCTGTTCTGTTATGTATTTAGAGATTCCTAATAAAATACAAAGAATCTGCAATGTTATTGGTCCTAACCTGGCATCTCAGCTTCTGTTAACTTTCTCACCGCTGTAATGTAACTTCCCTGTGTTTTTTTATAAATATTTTCATAGTTCTGATGAAATTTTCTTTTTGGTACTTAGATTTCATGAATTTAAGTGCAGCACTAGATTGGCAGTGAGGTCTCATTGGTTTACAGTTGAAATGTCTATATGTAACCACAAGTTCTATGTTAACAGTTTCTGCTCTCATTTGTGGTAGTCGCATCTGGCTTTTTGTTTTCTGTTCAACTTTGATCATCAAAAGTTTAAATGCAATATCAATTGTTATCTTTTGTCTTCTTAGTTCCTGTTTCTTTATTGTTCTCTCTTCTTAATAATGTTTGCTTTTTCTCATATTCTCATATTGCTTTATTGCCTAGCTTAGAGCAAAATGGTAAAAAAAAAAAATAAATAAATAAAAATAAACCAAAGAAAAAACCAAAAACAAAACATAAAAAATATTACTTAAATAAACAATCATTGATTACAATCTGAGAAACATTTGCATGGAAAAATTCTCCAAATATATTCAAGTATCTTTTTTTCTTTGATAAAACTTCTTTTTGTATTGAAAATGAATATGGAGAGTAAGGATGCAGAATAAGAGGAGAGAGAAGAAAAAGAAGAGAGCAATCATGCTTTCTGGTCAACTTACAGATGCCATGAAAATATCGCCTATTTTTTCATTTTCATCCCAACAGTTGACTCGTTCAGCAAGTTCAATCTGGAACATGTGATGATAGTTGAGGATTTCTCTGAGTTTTTTCAGTGAATTCCGAATTTTCAACTTTTGTACACCAATCATTTCTAAAATGGGGCATTCATAATCCTAAAGAAAATTCAGAAAAGAGAAGAAATTTTAAGAAAATGGATAGGTAATAAACTTATTACACACACACACACATATATATATATATATATATATATATATATATATATATATATATATATTTATTGTATTGGGGCAGCAGATCATTATTCAAACATATATTGTTAAATATAACAGACAACAAATGTCTGTTATGTTTGATCATGAGCCGTTCTAAGCTTCATATAGTTGCTTTAATTTCGGGAGAAAATAAAGACAAAAATTGTCAACATTTGGTTATCTTTTTATTATGCTGTTCCTTGATCTAAGCTTTCAGTTCACATGAGCCATTTTCAGAGTGGTTATATGGACATTTAAACAGATATTCACCATCAAAGATGATATTCTGTTATGTTGACATAAAATATTGCTATGTGATGATAACAGTTGTGGAATAGGAAATGCAGGTCATAAATTCATGATGACGTACCACGTGAAAGACTGAAATATTAGCAACAGAACCATATGTCTAGATGCAATGTAATGTGTTGTGACTGGTTTGAAATATAATTTTTGTCTAGTGTGGGTTGCTTTGTTTTAATGTAGATGGCCTCCAATATCTGAAGGTTCTTTTCATGGCTTGTGATCAAACATAATTTGTTTTCTGTTATATTAAATATATATTTGAATAATGATCTTCTGCCCCAATACACTAAATATATATATATATATATATATATATATATATATATAAAAAAAATTTCATAGCTAGAACAGATAAATTCAAAATTTTGAAATAATTATAACATTGTCCATTCACATATTTTTTTTAAAATTCACCATTACAATGAAATGCAGATTTTATTGTAGTTATAAAGATACAATAAGTTTGTTTTTGTAATTTATCTCTGAAGATGATCATAGAAAAAGTTGAAAGTACTTTGGTTAACCAAAACTACAGCGTCTTCCTTGATGAATTTCACCTTAACATCAAGAAACTGATTAGAGAACTAGAAAGGATTGGTATAAAAATGAGTAGACACAATATGCCAATATGCCAATATTATTCAATGAAACATGTTTGAATGAAGATATGCTGCTTAAATATACATTATATATATAATTATTTATTTTAGGCTCTACTTTTGTATTGAGCACCGTTTTTTTAAAAATAATAACAAAAATACTAAAGAACTTTGGATTATTTACCTAACGAGTTCTTTCCTATTTTCTATATATTTTCACACACACACACACACACATATATATTTTAAAGAAAAACAAACCACTTTAAGGTTCCATTACAATAATTTATTTCACCAGAGCCCTTTTAAAGGACGCCAGATCATCCGATAGCACTTCAAAAACGTTTCATTTTTTGGAAGTGCTATCTGATAATCCGGCGTCCTTTAAAAGGGCTCTGGTGAAATAAATTATTATAATGGAACCTTAAAGTGGTCTGTTTTTCTTTAAAATATTAGCTCTGGATTTACATTGAGCTCTCAGGATTTCATCCTCCTTGGGTTTACCCATACGGATTACCAAGTTTTTCATAACTTAAATATAACAAACAGAATCACATATTAAAATTTTGATATACATCCCTTACATGTGTAATTTAAAAATTTTAACAAAATTTTTAATTTCTTTTAAATTTAGCCATTAAAAAAAATCAAAATGGCTGAATCATTGAGTGGATTTCACAATAAAAGGAAATCATTTAAGAGCCATCAATATTTTGACCAGGGTCATCTGGTCAAACTGTTTTTATTTTGAAATGATGCCTAAGGTGTACAAACAAAATTAATGGCACCCCCCACACACATGGAAATGATTCTGGTGCCACTTGAGTTATTAAAGTATTTATGAAACAAGCAAAGTGTGAATCTATCATCTCAACATTCATATTCCTCATCTTTTCAGTTCTCTTTCTTATCATATCCAATTTTTCAGTATACAATAACCAATATTCACATGCCTTAGAGCATATTCAATGAAACAACTTCACAAAGGGAATCTACCAAGAAAGATAAAAGATTATTTTAGTCCTTGTCTCTCACCTGTATGATCCGCTGTAAACTTTCAATGTAAGATTTCTCGCTTAAAATGATACATTCGACAACACATCGTCTTTTGAGCTGAAAAAGGGAACAAATAGGTTTATCTTTAAAACATTCATCTTTCAACCCCAAAACTTAATGTGACTTTTTTTGTGACATGGTTCAGAGACTAGATTTCTGTCCCAAGTCAAATTTGGTAAGTTCTGAAATACAAAACTTTCATTTTTTTTCACCAAATACAAAACGTATTAAATTTTAATGGCGCTCTTGTAAAAATAATAAACTTACTTCTTTAAAGTGAAAAATACACAATTATTATTATTTATTATTATTATTATTATTTATTATTATTATTATTATGCTCCTTTGGCACAACATGTTCGATTCTGGTATTAGGTTTATTTTTAGTTCACCTTTTGTCATTTAACTTTTGTCACTCTGTATGTGACTTCATTTGCTATATAAAAAGTCTATCCTGCCACTGAAGGTGATTCTGATCCCTGAACAACAGTGTGTTTGAATTTTATAGTTATGTTGTCATATCCTTCTATGGCAACAGAAAACATCTTTGAGTGAAATTAACAACAACAATATTGAAATTGAGAGACTTTGAAAAAGAATGCAGTGGAAAGAGAAGCAATTCAGAGGGTTAAAGGTTAAGAAAATAAACTGGTCATTTCTTCTTTTTGTTAACAGTCCAATTATTTTTTTAAGTATCCTTGCTGTTCCGATGAAAAAGCATGTTTTTGTAATGGCTTAATTTCCAAATCTCAATTAACAAAATTGTCAGCTCTGGTTTGTGTTTGAATATGCAGTAGCCATGGTTCACCGTAACCATTACCATCATCTCTTTCAGAGGGAATTGTGTAGCAGAACTCTTGCCTCATTCAGAATTGCATGCAATCTCTGCTAGAGAGTCCTAGAAAATGCAAATACAAATAGCAACTCTACATAGTCTGTCTAAAACAAATTGGAAAACAAAATTGGATCCCACAGGTTTAAGAAAATTACAGAGATATCTCAACCTCCACTCGGGAAATGTCCAGAATTATCAAAAGCCTGGATTCTACAGGTTTGGATGAAATCTTTGTGATTGTTATCAAGAACCTTAGCCTAGAACTATCTTCAATTTACTGCTACCTGAAGGAGAAATCCTTCCAAAGTTCATTGAAAGTGCTAAGTGTATACTCTATTTACAAGAATGTGGCTGAGCGCTCATCTCCATTGCAATATCAGCCCAGCAGACTGCTTAGAATCATCAGGAAACTTTTGAAGTTATAAACAAAAAAGTTGCTGACCGCTCCAACAGAAACAACTGCATGGGGGACAAACAGTATAATTTTCAGTCCTCTAAGTACAATGCCTTAAATATTATCACACACAGAATCATCAAAATCATTCTGTTTTATATAAACAATCAGCTTAAGAACATTCTCAGATCTTTTGTAAATATATGTGAAGATAATACCATGATGTATGAGTGCACTTTCAAAATTCTAGATGACCAGAGCCTGGCAGCTGATCTCTATGATGACCTAACTCTTGACTGGTGGGGAAAAACTGACACCTATCATTTAATACAGAATTTTCCAACCTGGCTGATTTTGCCCACTGGTGGGCGATTTCAACTGTTGGGTGTATGATGAGCAACTGAACAGAAAATGGTGGTTAAGATAGGATCTTGAGTATTAAAAAGGTATTTCAACATATGTTATGTGAAAAAAATATTCAATGGAGATACATGCAAAGAACTTGTATAAGAAAAAGTAACAAGTGGAGGCTAAAGGGCGATTTCAACTGTTGGGTGTGTGATAAGCAATTGAACAGAAAATGGTGGTTGAGATAGGATGATATACCTTGCCCAGTGGTGACTTGGAACAGTGTAAAGCAGGAATATTCAAATTTCAAAACTGAATGGGATTTTCACAGATCTATTTCCCCATTTTTTAGTTCTGATGAATTTGTGCACCTAAGAAAGTGACGCATAACGAACTATACACCTGAGACTGATTTATTGACTGATTCATTTATTTTTTATGGCTTATCAACCTTTAGCAGGTTTTTAAAGCCTGAAAATATTTTTACATTGTAAAAAAATTTTTTGAAGATGATAATGATTTAGTGATAAAAGTTTTACTAATTAACCCATAGCAGGGAGGAGAAGAGGTTGATTCATACCATTTCCAAGGGTATTTGCATGTAAGTAAATATAACGAACCCAACCGGAATTGGAATTCAGCTCTCTGATTAACAATTCCAAGACATTATCAATTATATCACAGACACACACATCCAAGCTTAAAGTTACCCATCTAGGTACAGGCTGGGCTCAACATTGCTTAACTTTAGTGATTGTACAGAAGCCAGTGTTTCAATGTTAGCACCTGAGAGAGGGATATATTCCACTGTTTATATACACAAATATTTATAGATATTTATGTATACCTAGGCATACACAAATTGTGTGTATGTGTGTCTGCTTTGGGTTTTATTTTCCAGCCTGCACTACAAAAACAAAGAGAGAGAGAGACTTTCCAACCTTTCCTCATGGATTGTTCACCTGAAGGTCATAGAATGGAATGGCTGAAACATCATTTTAACAGTTTTGATCTATTCTATGACATTTTTCAAATATAGAATTCATAAAGAAATAAATGTGTACTGAGTTTTAGCAACTCCTGAAATAGAAACATGATAATATTTATAAAATCTAATCCTCAAGAACCAAATTTGTTATAACCAAACATCTAGAGGAGGCCTGTCCAAAGTCCAGCCCAGGGTTCAATTACAGCCTGTAGTCAAATTTCATATGCCATCCCCCCCACAATCCTATGTCATAGAATGCATCACTTAAAGCCCACCATTATTGTCAATCAGAGTAAGAAATGTAATTTCATGTTTTACCAAAAGATGGCATCAGCACTGTGTGGCTGCAGTGTGACCCTGACCATAACCTCTTCCAGCCAATTTCTAAAATCACTGCCTTTGAACCAGACCTGGCCTTCATTACTGCAGTCCAGATTTCAGTATCACTCTTTGCATTAGTGCAGGTAAGTTATTTGTTTTGGTCATCTGAGATTAATAAATTCTAAACTCATAGTGAATTAAATTTGTTTTGTACATTATTTACATTATTCGGCCAAAACGTTGTAATAAATATGGCGACAAAGATGAGGACAATAGTCCGAATAATGTAAATAATGTACATAATACCTCATCTCAGAAATATAGACAAATTTGTTTTGTGTTGCTCAAAATCAGTTGTAAATATATTTGGACACTTGGGCTTTTGTTACTTTGTTTTTTTATTTTCTTAATAAGAAGAATTTTGACGTTCCTATTCATATGTTTTAACTTAAAAGTTGTTGGACAACATTAATTACCGATAAAATGTAATGTTTACAATTAAACTGAGATATAGTTTCCTGGAAGTCTTATATTGGCTTCAAATATGAGTGGCTGAGTGATTTTGATAAGACCTGTTTAAATTTATTTGTCATCCATGTAAAGAAATGAAAATATGCCATTTGCAATAAAATTTTCATTGCATTTAATTTTAATGGTTCAAAGAATGCCAAACAGAATTGTTGGCCTTCATGCATATTGACAAAATCAAATCTGGCACTCTTTGAAAAATGTTTCGATATCCCTGATGTAGAATGTGTGGCAAAGTCAAAAGTATATGCAATCTATACATGGGAAGCAGAGGGAAAATGGCTACATTTTTGTTGCTCACTGAAAATATTGATTTTTCTTCTTGGACTATTCTCATTCATTCATTCCACCAACAGAAGAGAATGGTACTACATTATATTTCATATAAATTTCCTGATTATTCCAGACCAATATTCTTCATCAGGAACCAATTTCAATACAACCAACTTCTCATTCCTCACACCGTGCATCATTATTAGCTCTTCTTAAAAAAAACGCAGATCACATGCTTTCTCCCCTACCCCACCACAAAATAAATGTATAAAATTTAACCAAACTTACCACCTCCCACTTGAACCAAGGATAAACATTGCCACCATCCCTTCAATCTCGAAGAATGAGCTGAAAGTGTTGGGGCACTAGCACAAAAGTAAGAATTTGTCTTCCTCCAGTCTTGGATTAAATACTATGGTAGACTTATCACTCTTACTTTGTATGGCAACCAGTCTAGGAGGAGGAGGAAAGACTGAATTCAAAACCAGCCTGAAGAGGGATAAGCTCTAACAGGTTATTTGTTCTAGACACATTCACTGCTGCTATAGTTGCAGTACATATGATGTTCATATGATCTTAAAGGAATATATGGCATGCATGATCAGATTATATATATATATATATAGTCTTGGAGGAAAGATGCATGACAAAGTGGAAAATATTTTCCTGTATCACGTTTCATCCACTGTTAGGACTTCATCAGATTAGGTTTGTTTATGTTCGTGCCACTACACCTGCACACAAATGAGAGACACTAGAAATTTAAAATTTAGAAAAAATTTTTTAAAAAAAAATGTGTTTTGGGTCAGTAATCTAACCAATTTCTTTGAGATTCTTTTTTCTTTTGGTTTCCATCATCATTGTTATTAAATATCCCATGATGTGAGAACAAGATCTGCTAAGAATGGTGAAACTGTGTAAGAATGGTCTGAAAATTGTAATGAGGAGTGAAAATGACAGTCACCATTCGGTACTGATCCCTATGTCCACAATATAGAAGTGGACACTGAGGTCAACATTGAGAGGCAACAGTCTATTTCATGCCTAAAGATTGCATTCAAGCAGGAAACAGACTGTTACCACTTGGTGTTGACCACAATTCCAATGTAAAATACGCTACTATAATCAAAGAGAGTGCCTTAGTCGCTAGGTCATCTACAGTAAATTTACGCCCTGGCTCTTACAGCATTTCACCATTTTTGACAGATCTTCTAATATCACAGTGTGAAATAACTAATTACAAAAGTGGTGGAAAGAAAAAGACTCTAAAGAATTTGGTTAGATATAAAAAAAAGAATTACAAAATTCCCAGAACCCCACCTCCATCGTACATATGTGTAGTTGTACCAACATAACAAATTTAGTCCAATGAAGTTCTGAAGGATGAAATTCATCAAAAGTAAACCTTTTCTATTTTGTTATATAATTTCCCCAATACTGTTCTTGATATATAAAAAATATATATTGTTATCTCATTTTAGAACATTTCAAATCAAGTTTTGTTAAATTCAATTGATAAAAGTCTATTTAATTTCTTAATGTATTCTTCTAATTTTCAAATAAGTTGTTGTCCATCCAAATTAAAATTGTTGAGGTTTTCAATCTTTTTTTTTGTTCAAGCATTTTCCATTGTCTCAGTAATTATCAAGAACTGGGCATTATACAATGGAAAATTTAACATAATATTTACGAGCCAAATTTAACAAAATTACTTGATTCAATCAATTTCTGCTATATATATATATATATATATATATATATATATATATATATATATATATATATACACACACACACATATATATATATATCAAGTGAGAGAAAACCTGTTTGGAGTTTGAGTTAGTTGCATATTTCCATACAGCTATTATATAATCTTGCTCTCCAAACATTTATTTCTCCTATCTGGCCTTGTTCCAGATTTAACAGGTTTTTGTAAATGTGAAGTTAAAATCATTAAACCACAGTTTAGTTTAAATATGGCTAAAAAGAACAAATTCTTATCAATTCAAATGTAATTAAATGGACACTTGTAACAATATAACATTCACTGCATGTGTGTGCATGTGATATATAAAATGCATGTATTGTGGTGTCGGGAGCTGGTTGTGTAACAAAATATCTTATATGCTTGCAGGTCAGTGCAACTTTATACTAATGCCCTTCCCTTCAGCTGGTGGGATCTAATGACACCCCCACACTCCTCAATAAGTCTGAGAAAACTTGTTTAGTAACTGCAGACATTCTTAAAGGTTAGTAAAATCACCAAAATTGCATTTGTATACAAAAATAAATTTTGATGGTTTTTCTGCATGAATGCACCTGCTTTGACAGAATATAAATTCTTTTAATTTTTCTGGAAAACATTTTAAAATGAAATGAATATTGCTTCTTATTTGCTTAACCTATATAAACTTTTATTTCATGAATGGAGACATCAGTTTATTAAAGATTAGAAACATTTATGAGAGAGAGAGAGAGTATGTATGGACAAAGAAATCAACACTGCATGGTGACTGTCAGTTTCAAGCCTTAAGTAATCATCCGACTGTGTGTATATATCCATAAATGATTTATCTCTAATATTGTGCACTCTTCTTCCAACACACACAACAGGTCCACACTTAATACTTAGAAAGTGAAATGATAACCTTAAGTTGAATGATATAAGCAAACATTTCTATGGTATATTTCTGGTCACAAATGACACTTTCTCTCTGTTTTTTACCTCATGACATCAGGGATGCAAGTTGCATTTTGAACCATTATTGCAACAGTGATAAATCAAGGAATAAATATTTGCAAAGCAAAAGTTGTAAGGCGCATCACCTACCAACTACTCAACTCAGAACTAAACAATAACAAATTCTGTGTGGCCTACAAGTTGTAGCAGTTGCTGACTGCTTTCATATGCCATCATTTGTTGTCATGTGTTTCTAAGATTAGTGGACACTTCACAAAATTTTACTTTACAGGATTTGATTTTCAATTTTTATTTATATTTTTGAATCATTTCACACCATGAAAAGTGATAAAGCCACTAGGCTGCAGGGGCTTACTGGGAATGGAAGAGAATGAGAAGGTTTCAGTGAGGAGAAGTGAGGAAAAAGGACAGTAAAAGAACAGGGTTGAGGAATCCAGAAGATGACGATTGATATTGTATTTACATTTTTGAAGATTGTAGGTGACAGGGAAGCAAGAAATTGGAACAACAGGTGAGAAGTGTGAGAAAAGAGACCATTAGAATAGAACAGACAGTTGCATCTAGGTAGTTTAGC